GTCTTCCTCCCTCTGTCTTCCTTCCATCCCTCCCCCATCCTCCCTCCCCCTTCCTCCCTCCCTCTCTTCCTCCCGTCCCTCCCTTTTCCTTACCCCCCCCCCTTCCTTCCTCCCTCCCCCTGCATTCGTCCCTCTTCTCTTCCCCCCTCCCTCCCCCTTCCTCCCCTTCTACCCCTTCCTCCTCCTCTCCCTCTCCTCTTCCTAGCTTATACGTTTATCTTTCCTCCCTTCTCTTCGTTCTAATTCCTTCTTCATTTCTTCCTATCTTTTTTCTCATTTCCCTCTCTTCTTCATCTTTTCTTTTTCCTCATTCTCTCTTTCTTGTATACTTTCTCTTCTTTAACGACTCCCACTTCCACTTTCCACCTTTCATTTCCTTCTCTCCTGTCCCTCTCTTCGTCTACCTTTCTCCTCTTCCTTTCTCCCCTTTCCTCCTCCTCCTTTTCTCTTCACCCTCCCCCACTCCTCTCTCTACTTTTCATTTCATCCTCTCCTTTTCATCTCTTTTTCCTACCTTTCTTCTCTCCCCCCCCCCCTTCCCTTGCCTTCTCCTATCTCTCCTTGCTCCCCTCCTTCCTTCCTTCCTTTCTTTTTCTTTCCCTCGTTTGCCTCTGGTCTTCTTACCCATCTGCTTTTTCCTATTACTAGTTTTATTGATCTTCTTCCTATTTCTCTCTTTTTCTCTTTTTCCCTCATCCTTCCACCTTTCCTCTCTTTCTCTTATTTTTTCTTCCTCCTCCTCTCCTCTCTCCCTCTGTCTCCTCCCCTATCTCCCAGTTTCCACATACGTGTCCTCTCCTCCTTTCCTCTCCTCCTCTCCTCTCCCCCTCCCCTTCTCTCTCTACCATCCCCATCCTCTCCCCCCCCCCATTCCCCTCCCCGTCCCCCTCCCTCTACTCCCTCCCCCCTCCCCCCTTCCCCCACCCTTCCAACCCTCTCCACCCTTCGTCCTCTCCTCATGCATTCCTATCCTCCGTCCTCTCTTTCTCCTCCCTCCTTCTCCTATCTCCCTCCCCCCCTCCCCTTTTTTTCCAGGTAGCCAATCACACCCTCTCTAGGGGATCCTTGATTTACTGTGTTATCAAAAACGCGTGATTTTATTTTTTTTCTCCTACCAATTTCTCTCTCTCTCTCTCTCTCTATCTAGAATAACTATCTTTCTGTCTATCTATCTATCGATCTTCTCTTTGTTTGTCTATCTATCTATCTTCTCTCTCTCTCTCTCTCTCTCTCTCTCTCTCTCTCTCTCTCTCTCTCTCTCTCTCTCTCTCTCTCTCTCTCTCTCTCTCTCTCTTTCTTTCTCTCTCTTTCTGTTTATCTATCTATCTATCTATTTATCTATCTATCTCTATCTATTTATCTTCTCTCTCTCTATCATCATTATTATTATTGTTATTATCATTATCAATAATATTGATAACAACAACAACTAACAAATAATAATAATGATAAAAATAATAATGACAGC